CCCCCCCCACCCCGCCTCCCTTCATCTCCTCACTCTCTCTTTCTCTTTTTCTCTGTCTTTCTCTCTTTCTTTGTCTCGAGTTTCTCGTTTTGCCCCCGTCGCTCGTTCCCTCTCGTTCTCTTCTTCTCTCTCTCTCTCTCTCTGTCTCTATCTCACCCGTATATGGGATGCCTAGCAACGGCATCAGTGGAAACCTCCAACGCACCGAACTCTTTCCTCCACTCCTACTCCCTCGATCTTTAACGATGACGACGATGGGACTTCTGCCCTTTGACAAAACCTGATCGCGACGGAGCGTCGCGATTCACCCAAGCGAGGTGACAAGAAAGGTCATATATGTATACGCAAGTCGTCTCGATGCTTCGTTAACGAAACGTTTCTGTCCGAATTCAGATTCCATAATCGCATTCTCTCACATACGGGAGATCCTCTCGTGTTTCGCTGCGTGGTAAAAGTTATTATAGCACGTACAGAAAAACGTAAGGCAGCGAAATGCATGTAAGCCGTAAGCTAATCGACCACAATCAGTACAAAGGCGCAATAACGTACTCTCTAAATTCTTTGGAGTGGAATCTCATTCTAAAAAGTGAAAATTGAATCTGTCGTTTGAAAAAGAGAGATCAATTTCCAATCTTTAAGTGTGATGGGCTTTCTACGACAAGCTATTATCCTAAGCTAGATCAGACCTGTCCAATTTGAGCTTCGGAGCCAAAATGCAAAACCATCGACGCAAAAAAATTCAATGTAAGATTTTAGGAACTATAAAGTATTGATAAGCGTCACTCAGATGCATATCAACGCTTTACAGTCTCCGAAATCTTATCCACATTGAATTTTTTTGCGCCGATGGCTTTGCGTTTTGGCTCCGGAGCTCAAATTGGACAGGCCTTAAGTCTTGAGCTTTCAGTCTTAAGTGTCAATCATAGTCGAATGTGGGAAGAATAATCGAATATGATTGATCAATTTCTTACGACTTAAGATTTAAAAGCTTAGATAATGACTTATTGTAGAAAGCCCATGAGATTTCACTCTTCAGAGTGACAATTCACTCTAAAATTTTTAGAGAGTAACCAGCAATAAAATGTTCACTTGCTTACTGCTTACGTTTTTTATATGCCATAGCTAGAGATGCAAAATTACTGTCAAATTCAATTTTACAATTATTTACGGTAAAATTACGGTAAAATGGTAATGATTGGTAATTTTGGTCAAATTTGTTGTTTCTTATAGTTTTATGCACAAATAGACTATATTTTCGTACTTATGTATTGTATAAAATTATACAATCATTCAATATTCCTAATAGAAATCGCTGATATATGAATAACAAGGCTATTGACTAAATCTAAACGTACCCTATTGAAAAAAATTACGTCACAAAGTTACATAACGAAATCATGTAATTAAAACATGTAAATCGTGCAATGGATTGTTCCAAATTAGTACATGATTTTTTAAAATCACGTAATTTGAAAAGTTACACGATGATATATTTTTTTTCTTCTATTTCTATCATTTAATTTTATATAAGTTTATAAGGTATGAAAAATATAGTTTAAGACTACTGTACCTGTCACACTTTTTGTTTTCAAAATTTTAATAATTTATTTGAAGTTTCTCTAGTTATTACGTACCTATATAGTTTCTTAATTATTATATCAATATGTAGTATCAAAATAAAAATTTAAATTAAATAAAGTGTTTTTAAACTTTTTAACTTGATGACTTGAAATACTCTTATATATCAAATTACTTTATTTTTATAATTTTTTTAAATTACCATTTTACCAGTCTCCATAAAATTACTGATTAATTTACGGTAAATTGCCGAATAAGTTATCATAAAATTTGGTCATTTTCATCTCTAGCCGTAGCCTTAACACTGTGGCGCGTGATCGCGATTTGCTTCTCCTCGTGACAAGAGTCATCATGCGTTTACCTTTTTGGAATTTCGTGATGACGTATCCCTGTGCAAATTGCGAATTTGTACGTCGATACAAATTGCCGCTCACATGAGCCAGCCGATATAAACGGCCGACTTGTCAGCTGCGGTGGTTTAACTGGCGCAGCAAACATACGTCACGTCGCGCGCATAGACATTTTATGAAAGGCGGCTTGTAGATAGAAGAGCACGTGAGTGCCACATAAATTGATAAAAAAAAGAGACCGCTCGCGCGTGCACCCGCGCTCTGTTAAATGCAGGACAGTCCCCGTACTTTTCAGGAATCGACCGGTTTAGACTGGTTATAATCACATTTGACCACGGCACTCGCGACCGCTAATGTCAATAACGTGTCGCGAAATGTCGCGTAAATAGTGAAAAAAATTCTCCGGCAAAAAATCTATATCGAGATATGTAAACCACGCGTACGATCTTTTACTGAGCAAACTCGCGATGTATTTACGATTAATAGATTGATACTTGCAGAAGAAACTCACTTTAAAAAAATAAAGAGAAAAAGTGTGCTCCTTTTTCTTCGCCACTCCTCCCCGGTGAAAATTTTTCTCAGAGTTACAGAAAAAAATCTACATGTTTTGTCAGAATTTTTCATATCTTGTGAATTCTACAATATTCTTTCAGATTTTTCATTCTATAATTTTTGAAAAAATATTTTAAACTTTCTCAGAGAGATTTCATCAAAAATTATAGAAAGAGAAATCTTAGAAATCTTAAAATATTTCAAAATACATACATGAAAAATTCTAAAAGAAAAGGTGTAAACTATTTACAGGCACTTTTAAAAAGTATTTTAATTTGTATTTAAAAAATGAAAAATTTCCTAAATAGTTATAAAATTAATTAAAAATTCTAAAAAATTATATGAAAAATCTCAAAAAAAATCAGAGGGCTATGGCTTCCATTCAGTTTGATTCCCACATTATTTAACCGGTAAACAGCAGCTTGATACGATCATGTTTGTATTATATGTATGCGCACACCCCCCTTTGTAAATACTTCACGGGTAATCACGCTCTGTCTATACAGAGCGGGCGTTATTTCAAGTATCGAGTCTGGCACGTGTACCAATTATATCGATATAATTTTCTTGGACTCGTTTACGCGCTCGTGTCGTATTTTACAAGATTCTTAGAATTTCGAGCGCGTACGTAATCGAATCGACATTTGTGATCGCGAAGTCGATGAAGGGTGGCGAAGAAAACCTTTGCAAGGATCGCCTTAAGACCGAAGCTTTTACATAACGCATGATGCATAAAGCATAAAAAAAATCAACCAATCAAAGCCTTTTATTTCAAAGAAAGAAAGGAAATGAAGGATTTTGATTGGTACATTTTTTTTTATGTATTATGCGTTATGCAAGACTCTGTGCTTCCACCCTCAGAAAAAATATAGAGAAACAATTTATAGGAACGCAGGTATCGTACCAATGATTTGTTTGACAGGGAATATCTGATTTTCGACAAGGAGTAGCTCAGAGTGGCTTATTTAAAATAACTTGACGCGAGGAATCTCGCACGAACTTATTTTCTCAGGAAAGGATTTGTTTATCTGGGGAAATGATATATCGCGGCATGATTGGATAATCCCACCGCGTTTTCTTTCTCCTAGAAATCGTGCCCATACTGCCAGTTCTTCGATAAAATTACGAGCACTCGATTAATATCGATGATTACTTACTTAATAGCGCTTTCGGATTCACGAACGCGGACGAGCCGCGTGGGTGAAATACGTTTATATATTTACATATGTTTGCTGAAAACGATTCGCGGGTTCGCCTCTATGACGGATAAAAACATCGGAATTTCTTCGTGTCGGACAGCCGCGCGAGGTCGCGTTTGAGAAGCTCGTGAATTTCCAATCCCGCAATCTCGGAGAGAAAAAAAAGAAAAAAGGTCACTCTCGCGTGGTGAATAACTATCGGCGAAATGAAGCGGATTCGCCGTGGTCGTAAAGGTATATCCTGGGGATGGAGAATTAATTGGCTCGATAGCGCGACACGGCGCTTATTTCGAGCGTAAATTCAAATGTAATCGCTCACTGTGCGAGCGGGACCGTTTAATAAGACAGATTACGCGCCGGGCACCGGCCATGTCAAATTTACTTCTCATTGTGTTCTATCGTTTGCTCCGCTTATCCGTTTATGGCGTTTACTCACGCCGGACCTCGTCGCTACTTGCTCGCCACGGAACGAGAATGTGCACGTCGAGTGTTTGTTCGAGCGCTCGCTAAAAAGGGAAGTCAAGTCTTCTCTAGCAGGAACAAGAAGAATCTCGAAATACTCAAATAATTGTATCTTTAACGAATATCGTAATTTCTATTTCTGATTCTTGTAAACTTATACGTCGATTTTCTTAGTCTAGTAAACAAACTGTATAAATAGACTGAAGAAAATTATCATGATACAATATCAAAATACGATTATTTCCAGAATTTACAAAATTTATCGAAAAAAAAGTTTAACAATTTAAACGTTCGAAAATACTTTAGCCGCTTGTAATATAAATTTTAGCTCGAAACGCTGATAAGAGATCTTATTAACGTGACTTTAATTGATCAATGTTGCGACGTCAACGACGGCCTCTTTGAGAAAGTATCGAAGAAATAATTTATAATTCATACGATTCGACGACGGTCCGATTAAATATAGACAGCTATTAAATTAAACCCTCCGGACCGAGTAATCGTTTAACCGAATTCGATAAACGCTCTTGTCTTCAATATAATTAGCTCCTCCCGTTACGTTAATCCACGATATTTTTCGCCTCTGACCCGATTAAATGGACGAAAAGTACGCTAAACGCAGCACGTGAAGTGACGGCCATATAATTACATAACAGCTATAATAACATTACTTGCTAAAACGACGTAATTTTAAATCAATAAACTCTGATCTCGTCTCGGCCTTTTACGCGTCGATTAATTTCGCGCCTCTCTCGGATATCCTTTTAATCTGACTATGGCGAAATGGATCTACGATCCCTCTCGTGTGATGTATCGTTGTTTTATGGGCCAGTTTCCCGCTGAGTTTTCTCGCCAGCCGCTTCTTCAACCTGTAGATTTGTTCCCGTTCCTTGCGACGCCTTTGTTCTCTGTCGTTCCCGCTCAATCGGCCATGAAGAGATTTCTTCTGCAAGTATCCCGTTACCTTCTTGCTTTTGGTATAAGGTATTTCGGTGTCCACCATTTTGTACAGTTTCTTGGTCGCAATTTGATCTCGATGATGCGACGTCTTCGATCTAGAGATATCGACGCGTGACGTCGCGGTTCCAACGTTGGCGCTGATCGCCCGCATCTTCGCCAACCGTCTCAACTGACGACGATGATGGAGATTCGGGATCTCGCACATGCTGCTGCGTATTCGCGAGCGTTCAAGTTTTATACTCAACGGCGGCACCCCCGCTGTCATGCAGTCGCCATCCTCGCAGGATGAGCTCTCCGCGTTGTCCGGAGGACACAAGGTCATGCACTCGCCGCTCTTTTCTTTGGTATCGCACTCGCAACTCTTGTCACATTCCTGAGAGCTCGTCTCCGGAGGATTGTCCTCGTTGCAGTCTTCCGTCACGGAGTCGCAGCTTGTTTCGCAGGACCTCCCCGGTGTTTCGACGTTGAATTCGCATTTTTCTAAGCAGATCTGCGCGCAGCCTGTGTTGCATTTCACAGTATGTTAATTTTGGAAGTTTATTTATATACAGCTATGTGTGTTTAAAATACATTAAAGCTTATTCATCTGTTAAATGAATAAATGTGTATCTATAATATGAGTATTTTTTTCAACCGAAAGATTATATTATAATATTAGTGCAATTAAAAATTATAATTTTCTCTCTCATATTGTGAAAAGAATTGTGTAAAATGTAATGTAACGTTATTTTACCTTTCGTAGTCGGCATTTCAATCAACTCAGTTGTTGAAAAAACTGCAGAGTCCGTAGTTAAGTCTTGATGATGCGGTGGCTCAGTAGTTTCAAGAGTGGAAGTCTGCATCGTCGGCGTCGTCGTCGGAGATTGCGTCGTCGAGAGCAGAGTAGGCGTCGTTTCGACATATTTGCTAGTTGTACTTTGTTCAGTAATGCATTCAGCCGCTTCGCAAGGGCTGATGGGGACAGGTGTTGCTGTTATCAAGGTCTTTGTCGAAATTCCGATGTCAACGTGTGGTGTGAATACTTTTGTCATGATCTTTGAACGATTCAGTGCTATTACTACGTTGGTATCCACGATCGGTACCTCCGTTGTAGGTGATATCGTGGTTGTCGTCATGGCATGCGTTGTGGAAGTTGTAGGCAATGTTGTACTGATCACTGTGGGCAAAGTTGTGGTGGTAGTTGTAGGCAATGTTGTGGTAGTCGTAGGCAATGTTGTGATAGTCGTAGGCACTTCTGTGGTAATCGTAGGCAATGTTGTGGTAGTCGTAGGCACTGCTGTGATAGTCGTAGGCAATGTTGTGGTAGTCGTAGGCACTTCTGTGGTAGTCGTAGGCACTGTTGTGGTAGTCGTAGGCACTTCTGTGGTAGTCGTAGGCACTGTTGTGGTAGTCGTTGGCAATGTTGTAGTCGTAGGCACTTCTGTGGTAGTCGTAGGCAATGTTGTGGTAGTCGTAGGCAATGTTGTAGTTGTTGGCAACATTGTCGTAGTTGTAGATAATGTTGTAGTTGTCGTTGGCAACGTAGTCGTAGATAATTCTGTAACAGGCGAAGTCGTAGTTGTCGTGGGTAACGTTGTAATTGTTGTAGGTAATGGTGTAGTTGTCGCAACTGTCGTACTGGTTATGGCCATGGTTGAGATTGGCATGGGTTCGGTCGTAGTCGTCAACACAGTTGTCGTCGTCGTCCTCGGAAAGTCCGAAGCATGACCTTTGGGTCTCCTTGGAGTCTCTGTAGTTTTGATAGATTCAACAAGCTCTGTAGTCGCTTTGAATTTACGGGCTGTACTGCGTCGAATCGTAGTTTCGCCGGTTAGGCCTGTAGTCAGCAATGTTGTGCTAAAACGTTTTTTTGATATTTTGAACGGGATCTCTACTGAGCGTCTTAAATCCGGAGTGTCCACGCACTCGTCACTCATCTCCAAAAAGTTTTTGATGGAATCTTTGATTTGAGAATTTATCAATTTACAACGTAAAATCAGTTTTAAACCTATTCGCAGACAAGCTCGCGGAACATTGCAGAGAATCTCAACGGGGATGTCCTTCATATCCTGCAAACTCTCCTTGATTCCATCGATTTTCTCCATTATGTGCAAGTAGCGCGGCACTTGCCGTAAATTTTCATAGGCATCGAACAGTTCCAGCAGCTCGTCGAGGCTTTCGATCATACGGCTCTTGTGCCAGAATTTCGCGTGCATCCGCAGAGACGTCGCGATGTTTTTGGCAAAGTCGATGTCTATCAGCTGTCCGGTGATCTCCATCAACAGCTGAGCGGGAGTGGTCTGCTGATACTTCTGCACTTTCAGGTACTTTTCCACCACGTTGAATTTGTTTAATTTCATCACTAGGTATTTCTTAGCCTCGATTAGGTCTTTCTCAAGTAGGTCATCAGGCAGCACGAGATCGAAGAGATATTCAACGTGAATCGCTTGGTTCTCGTAGACGTTACCGAGCAAGTGGATATTCTCGTCGATCGTGCCGACGTCGTCGGAGATTCTTTTCGCAATCAGGAGCGCGTACTTTTTCAGATCGTCGTTCGAAGATTTCTCAGCGTATATACCGATGTAGTACTTAAAGAAGGAATTCATAGTATGAAACTTCCTCAGCTCCACCGTCGACACTGAAATTTCGGTCTTCGAAATTTCATGAAAGTGTCGTACAAGTTCCCTCTCGGCGAGGCGAACATCGTCGTCGTAGTTCTCGTATCTTACATTATAGAAAAGTCCAGAGAGTAGATTGGGCGTGATTACCAGCACTTCCCGCTGCAGGAGCCTCAGTAACGTCGCCAGAGAGAAACCTCTGGGATATTGCTTCGATATCTTGGACGAATAGTACACGTGATACGTGACATTCAACGCGGCTGTATTGTGATCGTCGGGATGCGGGAGATCGTGCTGCTTCCTGATTCTGCGGCACATGCTGGCGCTACTTCTCAGACAGGAGTCCCTGGAGTGTTTGTAGATCTCGGCACAGATCCTGGACGGTCTCGTATCCTGGTTCCTCAGGACACTGGGGATTAGGTCGAATATGTCGTACTGTCGCTCGAGGATCTTCCAATATATCTTGTGCAACGCCTCCACTTCCGCAACACTGAAGTCATCATAATAATCGTACAGAAGGCTGCCGAAGGTGTCGACTATTCGCGCTCGCAGGAGAGCACCGAAATACAGTAAGTACTCCGTGGCTTCTTGTAATGTGTAACTCTCTTTTGGCGCTACGAAATTCAGCTGCTCGAGAAAGTCGCGGCTCGTCAAGATTATGTTGTCGTTCAAATTCACTGATATCTCGTCGTGTCTGTGGAATTCATAGTCCACCGCCTAGAGAAATTAGGAAATAAAACAACTATCCTGAAACAGCTGAGAGAGATCAACTCCTCTCTTTAACATGTTTTTTGTAAATAAATAGATAAACATTTAATTAATCTACAATTTAATTAATCTGTAATCTGTAAAATAGTATTTATTTTATTTTGCCTTATTTTTAAAATGTCGTTGCGACATAAAAGTATTCAATTTGCAAAGGAAAGTTTGACAAAACTAAAAATCCAAGTTGATAACACGGTGGATATGTCCATTTCGATCGATTATACAAAAACATTAATTAGTAACATAACGGCTAATTCTCTAAATTCCGTGGCCATTTGGCATGATTTTTTATTTCTTTTATTTTCTCCGTTATGTTATTGCGAGGGTCGCAAAGAATTTAACGACCTTTATCGGGCATCGTTCTCATTGTTAACTTGTTCAATAACACGTCGACGATATTGGAATGTAATATCGTTATTCGTCAGAGTCTATTATCCCTGACTTGGTCGAGATGGTGTCTCTAATTTGACAAACGATAACCCAATAAATCTTGGTTGAGTTGATGTCTCTAATTTGACAAACGATAATCCAATAAATCTTTCAAGAAATAAGTAAATACGATCTCTCTCGAGTAACATATGATTTTATTATAAATCATTATAATACCAAAAATAAATTTGGATTAAATATAAAAATGCACATATTAATGAAAAATGCATATATTAATCAATATTTCAAAAGCTCCTAAGTATTTATTTCTAATCAGTTTAAAAAATTATGATTTTTCTTTATTTATAGAAATATTAAAAATATATGCTGTGTATATTTTAATATTATAAATATTAAAATGTACTAAAATACATTTTACTTAAATTTTAATTTACGTTTGAATAAATCTCAATTTATTTTAACAATTAAAGTTGAATAAGGCTCCAAATAATAAATCAATAAAGAATGAATATAATGCCAATGAGAGCCGACACAGTTGGACGTGTGTAATCAAATACGATATATATGTCAATCAATAGATACAGACGTTTTGACCAGCAAGATTGGGTCCTCTTCAATGTATAAATAACAAATTCAGAATCCAATTATAAGTTATATAATAGGTAGTTTGCAATTATTGAATCATCGCTAGGCTATTGTCCAACTTTAAAACTTCCTTATCGTCTGTTGTACTTACCCGGATACAAAGCCAAACAAAAATTCGATGATTTAACTAAAAACGGGTTAAAGTGATGTTTTTGAAATGCTATTGCATAGTCAATAAGTTAAAAATATGTCAGTTCAACAACTTACATTGTGCTCAGCATAACGATGATTCTTTTGCGATGTGATTATGTCTACGTCTTGAGAGCGTGTGAGAGGACATTTCAAATTCCAGGGTTTACAGATATAAATGTTACATAGAATAAATACCAATATAACAAACAGCTCCGCAAATTATAATTTATATAAAATAAGAAAACATTATTTCCTCTTAACTAAATCATGATATAACGGATCCAACAATTCCGTGTCATTTTGCAAATTGAGTCCATTTTTTTGCTTTTTTATATGGATCGCTTCGGAGATTAATCTTTTATTGAGCCCTCGTTCTTCGTCCAAAATTTTTATGTTGTTCATCAAAATCATGATTATACTCCATTCTATGTTCCATGATTACTGAGTATAGTTTGGTATTCCTATTATTACGATGTTCATTAATGCGAGTTTTTAATAACCGTTTCGTTTGGCCCACATAAGATGCATCATAATTTTGGCAATTTATTTTATAGATTACATTCGAATGTAGTTACTTTAACCCGTTTTTAGTTAAATCACCGAATTTTTGTTTGGGTATCCGGCTAAGTACAACAGACGATAAGGAGGAACTTTTAAAATTGGACAACAGCTCAGCAATGATTCAATAATTGCAAACTACCTATTGTATAACTTATAATTTATATAGTATAACTTATATTGGATTCTGAATTTGTTATTTATATATTGAAGAGGACCCAATCTTGCTGGTCGAAACGTCTGTATCTATCAATTGACATATATATCGTATTTGATTACACACGTCTGTGTCGGCTTTCATTGGCATTATATTAATTCCTTATTAATTTATTTTATTATAATATATGTTGAAATTAATTTAAAAATTAATAAAATGATAAATAAATAAAAAAATTAAACATAAATTCTAATTAAAATTAAAAATAAATTAAAAAGATAATAAAATTAAAATATATCTATTAAAATTTCATCTCTCCTTCACCTCTCTCTTTTTCTCTTTTCCCAACTTTCTTTCACGATAAGATCGGGATACCCCCGTCTCACCTGCGCGGATGACACGAGCAGCAGGATCAAAGTAAACCCGATCTCCCGTATCGCGATCCGCGATGACATTGCCGGTGCCATAACTCACTCGCGAGACGACGCAGACTTCGCTCCGACAACAATGCAAACCGATCAAGTTTTCGCGTAGCTTATATAAGGTGTGTGTGCATGTCTTTATGACGTGCACGTGGGTGAGGACGGCTTGTGCGGTACTGTGCTGTGTGGTCCAGGTGCACGCGACGAGATTGAAATTAATCATGAACATGACGATATGAAACCGCCCTGGGAACTCGAGTTCTACTTATCTCGCGATCTAACGCGTGGTGTTTTACGTTCTTTTTATCTACATATAAGTATTTGATCGCTCGAAAGCCGCTTTCCTAAACTTTATATCCGCAATTACAACTTCCGATCTAATACCACTTATCGTTAAAAGCTCTCTTAAAAATTTGGATTGGAAGCGCTCTTATCTATAAGCTACTGTGTCCCACTTTTCAAGATCGGATCGATCTGTCTTACTGTAGCCCAGCCTCTTGAAGATTGATATTTTAATTTAGTTTCATTTAATTTATTGCAAGTGTAAAAGATGAGGCGCCAGCAAGACTGCTGTTATGAGCCTATCTAATAATACAATGTGAATACAATAGAAAAATAATAATAACATAATAGCATCGTAGTAATTGACAGGAAAAAAAGTAAGAATTAGATATATTATCAACCGCTCGAAGATATCTATAAGATACGCGCGTAGGTACAGTGCAACAAACACAATTACAAGGTATACGCATAATACAAATCAAGAATATAAAGTCAAGTATAAAGTCAGGCAAATATAAAGTCATTTTAATTTTTTGTTGACTTTTATGTATTCCCTGGGAAGAGCATATATCGAATATAAGCTGCTGCGTGATGCGTATAATAATAATGTCAAAATCGATTCAGTAAACAAGAAACATTTTGGAACATTTCAACAACGTTGTAGCAACGTTGCTACAATGTTGCTGAAATGTTCTAAAATATCTCTTGCTTGAGGAGGAAATTTGTATTTGAGGAGAGAAATTAATATTTGATCGGGATCAGCCCCGATCGAAGTCGAACTGTTTCCAAGGAGGGTGTCGAGCGACTTCGCGAAGCTTTATCCGTAATTCTGCCCGCCTTCGGTCGAGCTTGCGCAGTTTCTATGCCAATATGGATTCTTTGAGTGATACATGCCTCGCGCCAAGGGCGCAACGATTTCCACGGAATTTCGCGTCCGAGAGTGCTCGCGAACGATCGCTCGTCGCGACTCCCGACGTTTTCGGGTAGCGGCCCTTCGTTATACATATAGCTGGGACCTAGCGTCATGTCCGAGGACTATCAGCACGCCTGTGAGAGGGCAGAATTGTTAGGCTTATCGAAGCCTAGCGAGGAGGAGTGGAGGCAGTCGCAAGCGGCGCAGAGCGAGAATCGTCATTGCGATGACGACGACGATGGTACATTACAGGTAACTGCGCTGTTGCGTCTCGCTAAGAATTTCAAGTCAGGCAGGATTTGTTCGAAAATATGATTAAAATAGCAGTCCGCGCGAATTTCATTTAATTGGGCACGCCCATTGGCGAATGAGCTATTTCTGATACGTTTCATCACCCATGAATCAACGAGAATTAAAAACTTTTTTTTCATCGCCGTAAAATAAAAGAATAAAGAGGGAGGAGGAGAAACCCGAGCGACGTAGTTTGCAGTTATCTACTTGCAGTTTTTACAATTTTTTTATTGTCCTTTCCTTTTCATTCATCCGCTCTCTCTTTCATGTTAATGAACGGCTGATGCACTTACGACGATATTTTCTCGCAATCGTGATAGACATTACGCAGCAGAATCGGGTTGCGCGTCCACGTGCAACGAGTCAAACCGTTGCGTTGGGAATAAATCGCTGACGTCGCCAAATTGATCACGGGGTTCATTAACGCCGACGGGACGTTCACGCGATACGAATTTCCTTACGACGATGCTTTCTTATCTCTAGGACTTGGATTACGTGGACGAGGCGACGGGACGCATCGGCGGCGGCCTGGACGAGCTGAACAGCATTCTGAGCACCACGCAGAAGAAGCTCAACAGATTCAAGGTGACTTGGGATAATTAATTGCCGAGCGAGCCTGCGCGCACTTATTTCGCATGTTGGTCGAATTAATTATTATTTTGTCATAACGATAGCGCGGAATTTTTACGACCGATACGACGGATCACTTTATGTCCTTACCCGCTCGCAAATTGATAACGCTTTCCTCCTGCACCGCCGGTTCTCTACCGCGGCCCCGCGGCTAAATGAATTGTTCATCATGAGATTCGTAAACTCCACGCTGACGAATTATAAATAAATCGACGTTACACGTTTTCAAACAGACATTGCACGTTTTCTATATTTTTCACCGCGCGAGATGAGAGAGAGAGAGAGAGAGAGAGAGAGAGAGAGAGAGAGAGAAAGGCCTCTAATAAAGAATTCCGCAGACAGTTTGCGGCAGTCTGGGAACGTTGCTCAAAGTGAAGGTAAACTCTCGCGGCGGAACGCCGCGCCACAAGCCCGAGGAGCCGAACCCTGACGCGGGAAAGCAGGAAAATCAAGAGAAACCAGAATCCACGGTCGACGAGGTGATGACGGTGGAGACGTCAGATGTGACCACGGACACCGCGAACCAGCCCGCGAACCAGCCCGCGAACAGCGGCGTCCAGCAGAAACAGATCGATCTCAGCCAGAAAATGGGATCTCATCTGAATAAGCTTGACTTCTTGATCACGAAGGCCGAGAACGCTCAATATAGTATGCAGGATCAAACGAAACAAATGAAAAAGATACTAAAGAAGTAATTACAATAAAAATAAAACGAATTAACCGGCTAATTAACGAATTAACCGGTTGAACGATAAAATCGCTCGAGGTTGATCAATTAAATTAATCACATCTTCCATTTTGAGTGAAAATTCGTATAAAAGAATATTTTACAGATATATCACGTAAACTAATCCCGATGCGCGTAAATTAATCCCGAGATATTTCTTGTGACTTTGACCGATAAATTCTACATTCCTGTAGATGCGTAGTTACGTAAGAAAACACGATAAGCAATTTCACAAACAGCCAACGCGTATAAGTCGTATAGATTTTAATTGTTACATTGCACATATAAAGTTTAATTGTTGCATCGAATATCGGTACCTTCCTCGCGATAAACTTATATATTTAAATCGCGAGAGAAATGTTGTGAATAATTGTTATCAATTCTTTTATATGTCGGTGAGACGTTCTCTTTGTCGCTAAAAATCGAATGTTGTTACGATACGTGTACTGTCAAATGTATGTATACATATATATATATATTTATATATATATTATAGTTATATGTTATTTAAAAATGGCACTCTTTAATGTATTTAATAATACTTTTATGTATATATACATATATACATACATACACATATATACACACGGATATTGTTGACGAATGTAGTATTGTTACATAGCCACGAGTATATTTCCGGTAATTGAGGCTTTATGCTTGGATCCTTGACAATACCGACATATCAGGTGTAAAAGATACGGAAACACATGTTGGCAAATCACAAGCCAGTGATAAGCTTTCCTATTCTGCAAATGATGTGATATTGTTTTACATCGATCTAAGAATTATTATTATGACTTCCTACAATCTATATATGTATATTTTATTATTGAATAGTTTGCGCTGTTTATCTAAATCTAAGTTGTAATCGCTAATATAACTAATATAACAAATAACGGGTACATGTTCGTTTGCCTTAATCCTCCTGATAGTTCTCCATTTTATGAAAATATTTTCGTAACAGAAATTAATAAAAATTTAACATTGACATTTTTAAAAGTAGGCAACAAAGCTCCATGACGCACGGTACAATCGTTGAATTTATTATAAAAAGAAGTAAATTGTCTACGATGTATATTCCTATCAAATAATAATCACGAACAATCTCAGTCTCATTTCATTCGTTCAAATTATTTTCCCAAGATTTTTTTTTTCAAGAAATCCGTTATAATGGACTTAGTTTAGAAGCCAAAATTTCGATCAATTTTCACTGGCAATTCGTTTCTATAACAAGAATAATTACTGACTATTAGCTTCCAAGTCCATATCCGACCAAATGGCTTCAGTCTCGCTCTCCTCGGGTGCCTCGTCGTTATCTGTATCCGGTAGACCGTCACCGACATCATAGGTCGTATCAGCCTGTTCCTCTCCAACGGTCATATAATAAGCGGAATCCAATTTACTAGAAGAATTGTCCAATCTGTGCATTCCCTCTATAGCTCTCCTGTTGTTTGGATCCAAGCTAAAGACAAAAATTAGGTAAGCTTCATCTAGATTTATGATGTAAATCAACAAGTACAAAAATGGAATATGTACTTTAAAGCTATCACATAATGATCTAGAGCCTTCTCCTCATTGTGCATTCTTGCCCATAAATCTCCCAAAGTTTGATGGAGTTTGCAAGTAGAGTGAATCTCCACCTGTCTCTCGAGTAATTCGATGGCTGCTTCCAAATTCATTTCCTGTTCGTATATCTCCGCGAGTAAATATACTGCAGGTAAGTAGACTTCATCTTGAGATAATGCTTTTTCAAGAAGATTTTTAGCTTTGCTCACTGACACAGGATCTTTCATCAAGACGGATGCATATAACTGCAAACGCAAGATGCATTGTTATATATTTTTGAATTTACATTTTAGATACATTTTCTTTTCAATTTTCAACTCACTGTTAGAACTCTTGTGGTGTGTCCAAGTTGTTTGCAAGAGCTACTGGCGATATTCAGAGCCTCTCGCAACCTATGCATCCCAACAAGGCAATCTACTAAGCCTTTATGCGGTTCATATCTATACGGTTTCAATTGCACGGCGTGTCTAAAAAAGAACAAGGCATCCTGATACTTCTTTTGCTCGATAAGAAGATTACCCCGTAATATAGTGGCCTCTATGTCGTTAGGATTCAGATTTAATGCCTGAGCAGTGAGAGTATTTGCTCTGCTGAACTTTCTAGCGGCAAATAAGGAATATGCCATTGCTACGTAAATTTCGCCGGTACATTCGTTGTTAGCAGTTATCGCTGGTATCA